GGAGAGGGAAGTACCTAGGCTGAGCTGTGTTGATCGCCGCTGTATTGATCACCGCTGAGAACGTTCTGTTGATCGCCGCTGTGTGCCATGGCAGAGGAGTGAGAAGTGAGCAGAGGAGTAAGGGGTATGTTGCAAACAAACTCGGCCACTAATTCGAGAAGGTGGCCAAATGTGAGGCGTTGAAGAAGAGTGAGTGGGTAATATGTGTTGAGGTGACTGGGTAGCTGTGTTGAGCCATGAGCCATGGCAGAGGGGTGTGAGATGATTAGATCGGTGAGCAGTCTGAATGCAATTTGGCGGCATTTTTTTTTTTATGTGAGATGAAATGCGAGCCATTAGATTCAATTTAAAGAATTTGATAAAATCTAGACCGTTGAATTAAAATTAGAATGAATCTGAACGGTTCTTGTGCTTTTCCAAATGAATTTAAATAAAATTTATTTTTAAAGTAAAAAAAGATTCAAATTAGGTTCTATCTTATTAGTATAGATTTGTAAGTGGTTTATGTATTGGTTAATTTGAATAAAGATTTTAGATATTCTGAATATTATGTTCATGACGAAAAATTTTGGATAATTAGATTATAACTCAGGTTTGGGAGGATTTCGTGGGCCACCATTTGTCACCCCGATATTGAACGGTGATAACTTTTTTTGTGGATATTATGAAAAGGGATGTATATGATTGATCTGATGCGAATGACTAGTTAGGTATAATTATTATGTTTAATGCCCTCATAGATAGCTCTCACCAATTATCTGGATGCTCGATTTTTAAAGGAAACTCTGTCGAAATTTTTTTTAAAAAAAAATAATTTATTTAAGCTAAAAACATACTTTTCTAGATATTTTAACAAAAAATCGGAATGTGCTTTTAAAATAAACAAAATATTTTTTTTAATCACGTTTTTGTGAAATTTGAGCTTGGACAAAAACATTACTAACCTTGCAAACATCTCTACTGTGCAGCATCACGCATAGCTTGCAGCTCTGCCTACAGAAGCAAAAACCATTGTACTTTAGCAGTGTCAACTAGTAGGTAACCTATATTAGGCAAAAAAATTGGAACCTTAAACTCATCCTGTTCCTCCTTTTGTTCGATTTTGTCATCCAGCGCTTGTCGCTACAAAAGGGACAACATGGTTAGAAGCAACCCTGAATTCAGATCTTGACAGACAAGAATTTAGGTGGACATTTAAAAAAACATGCTTCCACTTATCTATCATTAAAAAATCTGAAGTCACCATAAGCCCGTAAATGACAATGTTTAAAAGACAAGCAATGAATCATGCTTTTCTAAGTTAGAAGCACATATGATGCTGTGGTAATGTGCACACAGAGAAACCACTATTTCCCATGGAATAACAATCACACAAGCCTTAAATCCACAGAAAGAATAACAATATACACTCTCGGCATCTTACTCACAAATAACTGCGGTTGTACAATAAAAAAAAGTTTATAATGGTGTGATCAAAAGCCTAACTAAACGAAAATCACATAAATGGAAAATCTTGAGAGTTGAGCCAATTTAAGGAAAGGTTTGCGTTCCATCAGAATTCAAGGAGAGTTAAATGAACAGAACAAAAAGATTATCAAAAGCCCACATAATGATCTCAGTAGTCTCTTGTCCCTGGCGTAGGCAGTCATCAAGTTGACATCAATTCGCAACACATCACATATACAAACTTTTAACTATCAAAATTTGTCATGAGTTATACCATTCTAAGATCATCTTTGTAAGGAATTTTTTTGGTGTGACCATTAGTCTAGAAACAACACCATGACAACGAATTATAAAAATACATAAGTCAAAAAGTATATTTATTGAAACAAAACATAAAATAAGAGGATCTATGGAATCGTATCCGGTTTATAGCCTCTTTTTGGGCATTGATCACTGAGGAGTTCGACAATATTGCTCCTTTCGGCATTTTGGGAAATTGGAATGCTGATTATTGTTGATAATTTGTTTGTTATCTTTAGAACTGTTGCCTTAGTGGGATTGTCATGGTTGTTTAGTATAAGGTTTGGACTACTTGTCCACCCTTAATCTTCTATTGTATTATCTTTTTCTTATAATTATTAAAATTTTGTTACTTATCAAAACAAAAAATAAATAAATAACACCACAAAGCACAAGATTTTGATTTGTTTCAGTTCCGTAACATTTTGGTTGTTCCAATTGCATTTGTCTGGGTGCACCATAACAGACAGCTTCCAACACCTAACAAGATAATGTGATTGACAATTGAAAAAAAATGGTTTAATTTCATTAGATACTTATATACATAAATAATTTGAATTGGGTCATAATCAAATTGAACATTAGTATATCTCAATTCGAATTTGTGAAACATCATATATTGGTTTCAAATTCAGTTTATTGTAAAATGTAACGATTTATATGCAACTAATAATGTTTAAATCAATTTTTTATCCATCGACAAACTTGCATACCATGAGTGGTTGAACTCATTGACTTTTGTACTTGAAGATAGCGTTAGCCATGGGCCAGGCTAACGCTTAAAAGCAGCCCAAATTTGAGACAAAACCTATGGCCAACCCTAATCGCAACTGTGATTGTTGATTTGTACATGTTTGCAAAAAATACACCATGGGTAACTTTTTTTTTTTTTTTGAGTGGTGTGCATGTGTGTGGCATGTGGATTTCACCTATTCTATGAGAATTCCCATAAAACAAATGACCATGTTAATTAAAAAAAAAATAGCTAAGGCACAAAACAAAATGTTGAATAGAAAGTTTTGCTCACATTGTAATCGAAATGATTCACATGTTTTCTATACTGGTAACATTTTTATTGTTAGGAATGGATATAGTAGTTCAAGTGCAACGCACATATGATCTTTTTAACTAGCATCCTCATTATGGACCTAAAGTGTCAAGCAATTAGCCAGTGAATCAATAAAAATAGACGTGCTAATAGATGTAAGATAATGGGTTTAAATATGAGAAAAACCACTTCATATATAATGTCAAAGATTATGGCGGTATCTAATTCATCAAGCAAATTAGGAAAAACCCTTTGTAGCTCGTTATAAACTCAACACTTTTGTACATAGAAGAAAACGGATTCTTCTATTCGAAGACATCAAAACCTAAAATGTGTCTAAGCTAGCATGGCTTGCTACCCTACAAAGGATGACTAACTGCCAAAGACCTCATCATCATTCTAGACTCGAAATTGGCCGAATAAACGGGCTTTTCTGATGGGCCCATTCATGAGAATAACCATCCGTATGCAAGGATTTCAAACCTAATACAACACTGGCCTTAATATGAGTGACCATTCATCAGGTTAATCTTTTCTGGGCTGCTCTTAACGACTTGGATAATATTTTAGATTGGGCTTTACTGGGTCAAACAGATTGGGGCGAAATTTGGGCTTTAGACTCTAAAATGATCTAAATATCTAATATTAACACAAGAAGAAAGAATTTTAGAATATTTATGAAGAATTATATGATGGAGGTATCAAAAAAAGAAGATATTTAATTTGAGCTCAAATTCAAGGGCAGAGCTGTAAATTTATTTTAGGGTGGGTAATTTTAACTTAATAATTATATTTTTGTTACATATATAGTGACCCTAATTATAATAAAAAACAATAAACTAGTAATTTTTCTTTTTCAAATAATTATAAAACTATAGCTAATTTTTTTTTCATCACTACTGTTCCAAAAAAAAAAAAAAAAAAGAGGAGCACATCTATAAGATACAAAATAATTAATGGGCACGACTTATCCCATATGATGATGCGCATCCAAAACTCACCAAGTCATGCTTCGGTCAGCTCTTCACAATCATATTCTTATTTGTCTTGTTAATTAATGTAAACACCAAAAGCCATTAACACATGGCCATTGTTTTATAAATATGAATCCCATCTCCTCCCTCTTACCCATGAAAGGTCAGAATTGCGTAAAACCAAAAATACGACAGAATTTGTGTGTGTTGTTGGTTTTTTTTATAGAGTCTAGTTTGTATATGTGATCTGGATGATGATTCGACCCGAAGTAATGTTGTGTAGTTTTTAATGGAATTTTTTCTGTGTGTGTTGTTGGTTTTTTTTTATAGAGTCTAGTTTGTATATGTGATCTGGATGATGATTCGACCCGAAGTAATGTTGTGTAGTTTTTAATGGAATTTTTTCTGTGTGTGTTGTTGGTTTTTTTTTATAGAGTCTAGTTTGTATATGTGATCTGGATGATGATTCGACCCGAAGTAATGTTGTGTAGTTTTTAATGGAATTTTTTCTGTGTGTGTTGTTGGTTTTTTTTTATAGAGTCTAGTTTGTATATGTGATCTGGATGATGATTCGACCCGAAGTAATGTTGTGTAGTTTTTAATGGAATTTTTTCTGTGTGTGTTGTTGGTTTTTTTTTATAGAGTCTAGTTTGTATATGTGATCTGGATGATGATTCGACCCGAAGTAATGTTGTGTAGTTTTTAATGGAATTTTTTCTGTGTGTGTTGTTGGTTTTTTTTTATAGAGTCTAGTTTGTATATGTGATCTGGATGATGATTCGACCCGAAGTAATGTTGTGTAGTTTTTAATGGAATTTTTTCTGAGGCTTAGTCCATGGAGCGAAGGCTTGGGCCGATAAGCCCAAGCCGTAGCGTTTATGGACAAGTATCGTGGGAGTTTGGGGGCAACGCCCCCGAGGAAAAATTTTTGGGCCCGTTATACAGCTTAGTGCGTAGGACATATAAACCCTGTTGTTTTGGTGATTAGGGTTGGGTGTGGATTGTACAGCCGCTCTCTGTAATTCAACTCTCTCAATAGTGAAATCCCTGCAGCTTCGTTGACGTAGGTAAATTGCCGAACCACGTAAAATCTGTGTCTTGTTCTTTCTTGTTTCTTATTACTTTATATTCTTGATTTGTTCTTCGATTGTGTGTGTTTGTTAATGAATTTAAATCGAGTTAAATCCCAACATGTGTGTGTGTGTGTGTGAGAGAGAGAGAGAGAGAGAGAGATGGGTATCACTGAGAAGAAAGAAGCTATGGTGAAACATTCATGGGAGGTGCTGAAGCAAAACATTCCTGAGCTGAGTCTTCGTTTCTTCACCTTGTAAGTATTCATGATTCATGAAGGTGTACGTGTGTAACTATGTATGTAGACGGGAGAGTGACTGAGAGCCAACATTGTATCATCTTTTTGGTTTTGTACTTTTTCTTTGGTTAATATTGTTGTGATTAGGTCGTCTTTTGCAATGCCCTTGTGAACTAAAAGATATAATTTATTTTAAAATGTGCATGATCAATATGTTATAGGACTGATTATTATGGGTTTTTTTTTTTATTATGGATTAGGATCTTAGAGATTGCTCTGGCGGCAAGGAACATGTTCTCATTCTTGAAAGACACACCTCACAACAATCCCAAGCTCACGGCACATGCACTTAAGGTCTTCAAGATGGTGAGTCTATATGTTCTTTTCCTTTCGTTTTATTGAACTCACCATACACTGCACTCAGCTGTTTTCCTTGAGAGAGAGAGAGAGAAAGTAGTGTGTGGATCGCATAGACTTCAACCATGGAGATATGATAAAAGACGTGGATGCATTTGTGTTTATTTAACCATTGTATTAGGGACATTATCTATATACTAGGGTTACTCGTGCAATAAATGACAACTATGTGCCATTTCTTTTACTACGGTGAAAAAAAGTAATTGAGTTAATTAATTATGGTTAAAAAGTTAAAATATAAATATATAATTTTTTTATAATTAAAAAGTTAATACGTAAGTTATAAGATAAGTTGTCGAATTTAAATAATATAAATTATAACTTTGAAAAGCTCAGAGGTAGAGTTTATTTATGTTTAAATGCAAGTGTATTTTTTGTAAATTACCTTAAATTTTATTTTTCGTTTCTAGCAAATTATGTTATGACAAATATATTTACCACGTAATACTTAGAATACAACACTCAAGGCTAGCCTAACGAAAATTAGGGCCCTAAGCGAAATTATTAAATAGGGTTTTGCCAAAATTTATTAAATATTAATATAATATATGATTAAAATTTTATTTAAAAATTATGCTTTTCATTTTTTGTGATGAAAAATTAGTAATCAAATTTTTGTATTCGAGGTTTGCTGGTTTTGCTAATCCATGCAATATCATAGTTGATCATTGTAAACCCCCACACTATTATCTTTATATAGTAAGTAATTATTTTTGAAATGTTAATATAGGTGATGATGTATGCATAAATCATATAAATTGTAATAGTAGGAATAAATATTATGGAGGCAAATTGATTGTGAAATTTAATTTTTTGAAGGTGTTTAAGGTTGATAAGGGTAACTAAGTAAAAATATTAATTTTGTTAGGTCAAAATAATATTTTCATTGAACTTGGGAGATCCGAAAATTTTGGAATAACCGTTTAGCACATATAGCGGTTCGAATGAATAAAATAATAATTTTAGTGTTTCGAATGTAAATTTACTTTAGTTTTGAGATAAATCGTAAAATTAAATATTTTTAGGTTAAAATAACATTAAAAATGAATCTGGAACTTCGAAAAACTTTAGAGTAGTCATATGGATCAAATTGGAGATTTTTAATGGTAAAATCATAATTTTGAAGAAAACCCAAAAATCAGCCAGTAAGTAACTTTCGGGGACTGCTGTGTTTAAAACACAGATTTCAGCCCCCTTTTTTTCCATTTTTTCTCACATCTCTCACCCCAAACCTCTTAAAACCCTAGGAGAAGAAAAAGAGAAAAGGAAAATAGAAGAAAAAAGGCTCTAAAACTTGGGTTTTGCTTGGAATTCTTGATTCAAGGTAGGAATTTCTTCTCATTCTCCTATATTGAGGCTAGGGCTTATGTATATATGTACTCTTTTGACTCTAAATTTAATATGTATGTTATAAAATCTTTAATTCTTATTATTCTTGTAATAAATGTCATGTTTTAAACAATGTGATGGTTGGGTAACCATTAAAGCTCTTTTTTTCATCTTAAAACTTTAGATTTTAAGAAAATGGATTTTTCTCTTCATATTTCCTTTGTTTTTGATTTCCAAACTTTAGTCTTTCCATTAAACAATAAAATGGTATTGATGTTGATTTCTTGTCTATTTTTCTTACACAGTTCTATTAGATAACATACGAGAAATTTTGCAAATTATGAACTTTTGTTAAGAAATTGTTGGTGATTGTATCTCATAAAGGTGTTTGGATTACCATGGGTGGCCGTTGACCGGGTAAATGAGTGTGGTTCTTACTCTGTGCGGGTTTAAACTTTTTCTACCACTCGTAGTGGGGTTGGTGCCTTATGAGAACCAAACCACTATTAGCTCACGGATGTTGTATCAAAAGATTAGTATACTATGTCTGGGTCGGATTCGTTATTGTCGGTGCATTGGTATGAGACAATGCATCTGTAGGCGCCCTTTCCGAAGTTTGATATCCTTGCGAGGATTTGTGTGTGTGGGGGGCAGGATATTCTCTATGTGTTTATTCATGCGATTATCTTACATCAGACTTGAGATACATTGTGGTTATTGTTTATTGCGTTATCTTTTGGATATGATTATCTTGAAAATTGTTGTGAGAATGATTACTCTTTAGAATGGTTATTTATGGTGAGATTGGTTTTACTCTTGTACTTAATTATTGTTAATATATAAACTTGAAATCTTTTAAAAATATTATGTTTTCTTTCAAAATTTACGTATATTATTTGTGAAATGAAACCGACCGTTTTCTACGTTTTTCAAACCTTGTTAAAGTTTAAGAGAATTTTCCTACAGAGTTTAGTGCTCACCCCTACCAATAATGTTTTTTTTTTTTTTCAAACTTCGTACTAGAGGAAGATCCTAGAGTTGACGAGCCGGGAAATTGGAAGGCTCCACCAGAGGGAAACCTAGATCCTGAGGTAGACGTCTAGAGCTATAGTTTATTTTCGTGCTAGACTAGGGAATTTATTTACGATCATATATAGTCTAGTATTTTGTTTATTCCGCTGCTAAGTTTAAATGAAATTTTATTATTTGATGGATTTATTTAGTGCTCTCATGATGTGAATGATTTTAGACAGCAATGTCATCTAAGGAGAATTTTGGGATATTACAAATCGAACTCATATGGACTGTTTTAATGTTCACTTATAAATGGATCCGGTGTGGTCAATATTTATTCATAAATGAACCTGGTGTGGTCAATATAGTATAATTGCACAAGTTGTGTTGTGGGTAGAGCTCCCCGTACAAATGAGACTTTGTCTTTTGTTAAATTAAGGACCCCCGATTTTTGGGGCGTTACAATCGTAAATAAGATTGTATGAATTTTAATTTTGAAAAAATTTGACATATTTCAAACTAAAAATTCTTGTGAACAAAATATATTTAACAATAGCAAATAATTATACTAAGAGAATAATCTAATACATTATAAAAGTCAATAAGAATTAAGCAATAGCACATGACAAATAGAAATTGTATAAGCTTTGAATTAATGATTTATTTGCCTCACAAATCATCTACTATTTCAAACCTTCATAATAAAAAAGAATAATTGCATTAAATTAATCCTATCAATAAAAAAATTAAAAAATAATGTGTTAATCAAATAAATATGTACCTTTTCAATTTAATCTAGGTTGCAAAAGAGAGATACATAATTATGCTTAGAGCAATACTATTGAAACATAATTTAATGATATAATTTAGATACATAATATGTTGTGATCAATGGAGTGATAGTCGCATTTAATGTTGCAATGAATTCCATTATTAAATGCATTTTATTATCATCTATTGGTCACAATAGCATTAATGTTATGTTTATGAACTTTTGTTTTTTGGCAAAAAGAGAGAGAGAAAGAGACAATAGAGAAAGAAAGGAGAGGGTAGAGTATAAATAACAAAATTTTAAGCTTTAGTAGTGAAAAAATGATTTTTGCTTTTTTTTTAAGAACTTCTAAATAGTGTTATCAAACAAAGATTGGACCGAACTGGCTGATTAGACCAGTTAAACCGTGAGTCAGGACCTAAAACAGTTCAATTCTTTAGTTAAACCGTTTAAGGAATCAAATCACTCGAGAATTGTAAAACCGACAGATTTTAGACAAGAGTCATGGACGGATTTTGTAAATCGAACGGTTGGAAATTCGAGTCAAGCCACGAAACAAACTTCGTCCCTCTAACTCAGGCGACTTGAAGGCTGTAATCTCCTCCCTTTCTTTTTTGGGCAATTTTGCTCTAAATCAATTCCACCTGAAGTGCTTCGCTCTTCCTCTTCTTCAAGCGATGAACAACAACGACTCAAGTGACAACTTCTTTGGCTCAGGTGATAGCTCAAGCCTCTCTCTCTCTCTCTCTCTCTCTCCCTCTCCACTGAAATCTTACTTATATTGTTATATATATGTATATCCATATTATTTTGTTATATATGGATGGATGGATGAAATTATATATATATTGTTATAATTGTATAGATGTGTATATATATGTCACATATATGTATATCTATCCATATCTATATTTATATCTATATATTATCTATACTACTTATAAATGTCAACATCTGCGAAAAATTTTTGATTTCCTATTTCACCTTTAATTATTACCATAAAACTAATTATACCCACATATTTTCCTCTTTTTCATACCTACTTGACTTCCAAAATATTAGCTAGATAAACTTTATCTCTATAACTTGGTAAATAAACTTTATCAAAATATTACTTAGATAAAATTTATCAAAATATTACCTAGATAAACTTTATTTCTATGACTTGATAGATAAACTTTATCTCTATGACAATACATTATTTCGTTTCCATTCAATTGTACAAATTCTACTAGAATTCTAATACCACATATTGGTAATTTTTAGGTGTTACACACACACACACACACACACACACACAGATATATATATATATATATATATAT